CAACAATGGATCGTCTTCAAGTGGTTCTTCAAGGGATTCGACGCACAAGTTCAACATAGAGGTCTTGGACCCGTTGACGTCCAAGGATTTTGCATAGCTTCCTCTCCCTTCCACAGGCTGCTTGTCGGGACCGCAATGCGCAGAACTATGCGCCCCATCTCCACACATACTTAGCCTTCTATGCACCACCATCTTCGCCAACGGATGACGAAGCTGCGGTGGGGGACATCCTTTTGTATGTTACCAAGGTGGCCCGCAAGTTTCGCATGCAGCAGTACGATGATAACAATGCACTGTTGCTTTACGTCCGCATCCAAGTTGGGCAAGCGTCCTGTAGCGCTTTGCTGGATAGCGGCGCGACTTGCAATTTCATCAGCCAGTCCTTTATCCAAAGGGTCGGCCTTGGCGCTCAAGTTCGAAGGAAGCCAAACCCGACGGCGATCAAGTTGGCGGACGGTCGGACGCAACAACTCCTCGATCGCTACATTGAAGTCGTGGCGGTTTATTTCGCACCTCATGCCTGCGAACCGGTGACGTTTGACGTCTTAGACACAGACTTAGGCATTATTTTGGGGATGCCTTGGCTTGCAAGTGCGGATCACGCGATTAACTTCCATCAGCGGACACTTACCGTTCGCGACCTCTTCGGCGCCAAGGTGTCGTGTACCATTCCTCCTCCACACTCCTCGATCCGGTGCCAAGTTGTAACGGCCAAGTCTTTTCGGGCCACTTGCAACTACGAGCGGACCGACGAGATAGGCCTATGCTTTCTACAAGCCGCTGCGACGACCGAATCTTCACCTACGGACTTGTCTTCGGACCCCCGAGTGGTGCGGCTGCTCGACGAGTTCGCCGATATCTTCGAGTCTCCTACCGGTGTGGTGCCGGATCGGCCGATCTCCCACGAGATCATTCTTGAGGCAGGTGTTGTGCCGCCAAAAGAATGCATCTATCGCAATGCAAGGCAAGCCGGTATCTTCGGCTCCACGTCGCACCCGCATCCACGTTCCACCATCAGATCGTCAGCTTCGCCCTTGCCCCGACTTGACTTCATAAGCAGGGTGGAGTGTTACATGCTGCGCCTGCAACAGGCTGCACGGGCCATTTTCAGGCCCGTGTCATTTTCAGGCCCGTGTCATTTTCAGCCTGAAAGCCTAAAAACGAGGGCCTACAGACCCTGTGTTGTTTTCAGGCCAAAAGCCGGAAAACAAGGGCTTACAAGCCCCATGTCAGTTTCAGCCTGAAACCCTGAAAACAAGGGCCTACAGACCCCGTGTCAGTTTCAGTCTGAAAGCCTGAAAACAAGGGTCTACAAGCCGCGTGTCAGCTTCAGCCTGAAAGCCTGAAAACAAGGGCCTACAGGCCCCGTGTCAGTTTCAGCCTGAAAGCCTGAAAACAAGGGCCTACAGGCCCCGTGTTGTTTCAGCCTGAAAGCCTGAAAACGAGGGCCTACAGGCCCTGTGTCGTTTGATGCTAAATCAGGGCCTTTCAGGCCCTGAGTATTTTCAACCTGAAATTGAGGGCCATTTTCAGGCCCTCATCAGTTCGACCTGCCCTGAAACTCAGGCACCAGACCAGGGTTTTAGGCTTTTAGCTCATGCCATTTTTGGCCTATTTTCAAAACCTTTGTTTGAGCTTCAACCCCAGGGTCTGGCACGTCTTGGCATTGGCAAGAGCAGCCTCCTGGATGGGCCAGCACTATATAAGACTGGCCCACCCCGCAGGCTGCAGGTAGTTGGGAGGTCGTTCATAGGTACCTCCCAGGCACTTCACGTGCAGTTCAGGAGGCAGGAGGTAGTCTTCAGGATTCGGCAGCAGCACTCTGGAGGAGCGCTGCAGGAGTAGTATTAGCACAAGCAGTAGTCTTCAGCGCTGGGCGCCATAGCTAGAGTAGTACTAGAGAGAGAAAGATTGGGGGGAGGCCAGGGATACTTACCTGCAGCGCCGTTGCTCCAGCTTCGTCTTCGAGGTACCTACAGCACAGCGCCATCTTCACAGGTTAGTACCTGACACATGAGAGAGAGAGTTSTTCTTCTTCCTCTTCTCAACCCACCATCTCCTTCTCACCCTCCCGCTATCTGACTTCACTGCATCAGCAGACTACGAGAGAGAGAGAGAGAGCTTGGTGACATTTGGATCCAGACTCGACATTGGACTTCAGACATATCGAAGAGGGATAATTTGGGACTTGAAACGAGACTTGGTGTTGACGACTTGACTTTCCCATCTCCCCCTTCCTCTTCTTCGTCTGATCCCCTCCTCTTCGTCTGTTTATGTCTGGACATGCCTCCTCTTTCCTGCCGCATCCTGCGTATAGCACCAGGCTCCTTCACACCTTGTGATGGACATGATGCATGTTTGGTCTGCGTTTAAACATTGATTGAGCTAGTCATTTGCATTCTAGCATTCTGCTTCGCTATCTTGTGCTCTGTGAATGAGGTTAGTCCCGGTCAGGTCAGGACTTGTATCCAAAGTCTTCCCTGCGTTATAAAAGCACCATTTTGTATGTATTGGAATGCACATTGCTTGTTGAGATTCTACTTGCACTGCATTGTCCATTCAGTCCTTTTTATCACATTGCGGATCCTCGGKTATTWTGTACATTGCCCAACTGGGCATGTAACAGTTGGTAGCGGAGCTCCGCACGTGAATTAGGACAACCTGATCTGACACGTGTGCGGGGACTGAGTAGCTGATTAGTCTTGATTGGTTGATTAGAGCACACTAGTTAGCCCCCAAAATCACGATTTTGACCTCACTGCCGAAAATCGAAATTTTTTTCTTTTCTTAGATTTTGTTTTCTCACTATCTCTGTTGTGGAAAATCGCAATAGCGCAACATCTGAAATTTCCGATTTCGTTTTTCTTCTGAAAATTCAAAATTTCATTGTTGAAAATCCGGAATGTCTTTTTTTTCGAAATTTTCGATTTCGTGTTGCAATTTCCCATTATTTAGAAAATCCGGAATATTTTTAATCCGAAATCCGTTTTTTTTTAAAACGGTACGCGAATCCCTCTTGCAGTTAGCATTCTCCAAACTGCGCGTACTCTCATCTGTGTAATTCCGAAAAAAAATTTGTACTTCATTTTCGGAATTTTTTTATCAGAAAGTCATTTGCGGTCTGAAAGTTCGAAATTTTTTCTCATTGATAATTTTGCACCACAAGGGAATTGTGGGGCCTATCGAACTTGCAAACGAGTATTTTTTCTTTTTTCTCGAATTTTTACAAAGTTCAAACTTTTCTTTTTTTATTAGTGGCTCCTTATCTGGGCGATTTATCCCACCCCTCCCCACCTATGTTGTTGTCCCCTCTGGTCTTTTCTCTATCTCCCTTCGGGTGCCCCTTGCGGCGACATTGGTAAGTTGCCACGTCAGCAGGCCACACGGCAGCAGTGCCACGTCAGCAACCAGTCCTGGCAGCAGCAGGACACGTCAGTGCATGGTGCTCACCTGCTCAAAGACAAGCGGCATGGAGCAGCAGCCAGGCGAGACTACCGAGGCCTATGAGGCCCGGATGCTGGACATGGTAGAACAGTACAAGCAACGGGCAACTGCGGCTACATCCGCACGTAAGAAGGAAGACGAGGAAGCAGAGGAACAGCGTCGCCTCGCTAAACAGCAGTGACAGGCGGACGCTGAGGCAGCAGCAACGGCCGCAGATGAACGTCGTCGATTACGCCGAGACAAACTCCTCGGATGCAAGGGGGATATCGAGGTCATCGCCGACGAATGGGCAGTGGCTGCTGAAGAGGAGGGTGCCCCCTCTGCTGTGCGTGGCCTTGCAACCGCAATCGAACATGTGAGCGACTTGGTCGCCACCTGTGCAGCACAGCAAGAGGACATCCTCTGGATGGACACCCTGGTCCGAAAGCAAATTCACGTTATTGATGAACTGCTTGACCGGGTACGTCGGTTGGAACAACAGCTTGCATCAGCCACCCCCGCCGGACCGTCCAACTTGATGAACCGCGTCAACGTCTTGGAAATCGACGTCGAGACTCTCAAGGACGGCACCGTAACGACAAATCAGCGGATTGACCAGCAGATTTGCGCTGCCGCAGCCAGTCCGATCGCGACCAATCGCGAGAGCATCCCGAAGTTTGACGGCCTCCCGATCTTCTGTGATGCAACGAAGACGGACCCGATCCCATGGTGGCGGCAGTTTGAGTTGAAGTTGGACATTCACCACGTCATCAACCCGAACCGGCACGCATACTTCTACTCCCGCTTGGGAGGCGCGTGCCAGGCATGGCTGGACAACATGTTGTCYACGCACAACGTCGCAGTCTCCGAGCTGCATACGAAGATCAGCTGGGCTGATCTCAAGGCAGCATGGCATAAGAGGTTCCAAGTGGAGCCGCCCGAGCTTCAGGCAGCCGAGAAACTTCAACGGTTCTATCAGAACGACCTGCCAAGCACAGACTGGATCACCGAGTACCAACGCTTGGCATCCACTTCCAACTTGCCGTCGACATTTGTCGCTATCAAACACTTCTTAATCAGGAGGAGTTGTTCGGCGTTGCAAAACGCCTTAACGCAAGTTGAGGAGATGCTCACCACAAGTGAGCAGCTCTTTGATAAAGCCTCCCAGATCATCCTAAGGAACATCGAAGCCAAGAATTTGGGCCATTCGTCTGCTGCAGGCCAGGGGAGAGGACAGCATCGGCCGAAAGTGGTCGTGGTCGCAGCAACTACAGCGACCGACCCTTCAAATGAGACTGCCTCTTCTGAAGAACGAGACAGATTGGCAGCCGTCCGGGATGGTTGCCGCCCCGTCAGAGGGCGAGGACGCGGCAAACCGAAGACACACACCAATTCATCCCCCGGGGCCGGACCAGCGGCTCAAGAGCCTTGGACACATTACGGTATCTCGGGAGGCGTATACCGCATCCGGTCTAAGTACCGATACTGCTTGTGGTGCAACAGCGCGGTGCACGACACCGCAACGTGCCCCACACCGGTCCAAGCCAAATCCCCTGCGGGAAAGTGAGCACCGCCGAGAGTGATGCGGCTGCACTCTCGACGCCTTCGGAATCGGTTGCTTTGCGAGCGACCTCTTTTCATTCCGAGGCACATGCGGAAGTCGACAGTCCTCTCTTGTATTCTTATGAGGACTATGCTGCCCGGCTCGTTCCTTCGTTGGGTTCTCAAGCTCAAGGACAAGATGTGTGTGCGGCTTCTTCTCCGTCCGGCAACAGCAACAATGGATCGTCTTCAAGTGGTTCTTCAAGGGATTCGACGCACAAGTTCAACATAGAGGTCTTGGACCCGTTGACGTCCAAGGATTTTGCATGGCTTTCTCTCCCTTCCACAGGCTGCTTGTCGGGACTGCAATGCGCAGCACTATGCGCCCATCTCCACACATACTTAGCCTTCTATGCACCGCCTTCTTCGCCGACGGATGACGAAGTTGCGGTGGGGGACATCCTTGTGTATGTTACCAAGGTGGCCCGCGAGTTTCGCATGCAGCAGTACAATGATAATAACGCACTGCTCCTTTACGTCCGCATCCAAGTTGGGCAAGCGTCGTGCAGCGCTTTGCTGGATAGCGGCGCGACTCGCAATTTCATCAGCCAGTCCTTTATCCAAAGGGCCGGCCTTGGCACTCAAGTTCGAAGGAAGCCAAACCCGAGGGCGATCAAGTTGGCGGACGGTCGGACGCAACAACTCCTCGATCTCTACATTGAAGCCGTGCCGGTTTATTTCGCACCTCATGCCTGCGAACCGGTGACGTTTGACGTCTTAGACACGGACTTCGACATTATTTTGGGGATGCCTTGGCTTGCAAGTACGGATCACGCGGTTAACTTCCATCAGTGGACACTTACTGTTCGCGACGCCTTCGGCGCCGAGGTGTCGTGTACCATTCCTCTTCCACACTCCTCGATCCGGTGCCAAGTTGTAACGGCCAAGTCTTTTCGGGCCACTTGTGCTAACGAGCGGACTGACGAGATAGGCCTATGCTTTCTACGAGCCACCGCGACGACCGAATCTTCACCTACGGACTTGTCTTCGGACCCCGAGTGGTGCGGCTGCTCGACGAGTTCGCCGACATCTTCGAGTCTCCTAACGGTGTGGTGCCGGATCGACAAATCTCCCACGAGATCATTCTTGAGGCAGGTGTCGTGCCGCCAAAAGGATGCATCTATCGCAATGGAAGGCAAGCCGGTATCTTCGGCTCCACGTCACACCCGCATCCACGTTCCACCATCAGATCGCCAGCTTTGCCCTTGCCCCGACTTGACTTCATAAGGAGGGGGGGGTGTTACATGCTGCGCCTGCAACAGGCTGCACGGGCCATTTTCAGGCCCGTGTCATTTTCAGCCTGAAAGCCTAAAAACGAGGGCCTACAGATGTCGTGTCGTTTTCAGGCCAAAAGCCTGAAAACAAGGGCCTACAGGCCCCGTGTCAGTTTCAGCCTGAAAGCCTGAAAACAAAGGCCTACAGACCCCGTGTCAGTTTCAG